TGCCAAAGAATTTCAAAAGAAGATTAGTCTATGCTTCATAGACTACAGAAAAGCCTCGATCACAAAAAGCTATGGGTAGTCTTAAAAGAACTAGGTATGCCTCAGCACTTGATTGTCCCGATACATAACTTGCATTGTGGACGAGAAGCTAGTGTGAGGACAGACTATGAAGAAACAGAATGGTTTTCCATAAGCAAAGTCACCTGTTCAATCTGTAAACTAAGTATTATAAGAAAATCTAGCTTAGGATCAGAGGAAGGAGTGAAAAGTGATGGAAGACACATCAATAATTTAAGATATGCAGACTTCTATATAACTGGCAGGAAGCAGCAGTAAATTGAACAACTCCTGATTAAAGTGAAAGAAGCAAGTGCAAAGGCAGGACCGCAGCTGAATGCTAAAACAAAAATAATGACTATAGAAGAATGACAAACATTAATATCAACAATGAAGAAAGTACAATTGTGAAAGATTTTTCATACCTTGGCTCACCCATCAATTCAAATGGTAATCGCAACCAAGAAATTAGAAAACAACTGAAACTTGGAAGAATAAGAATGAAAGAACTAGAAAAGGCAATCAAGCCTAAAGAATATATCACTGGAGACCAAGGCCAAGATCATCCATATTATTGTATTCTCAATCAACGTGTAGGGCTGTGGAAGAAAGCCAACAGGAGGAAAGCAGGTGCATTTGAAACACAGTCCTGGAGGAAAGCTCCACAAATACTCTGGGCTGGCAGAAGGATGAAAAAGTGGATGCTAAATCAAATTAAGCCAGAATTTTCCCCAGAAGCAAAAGGTATGCAACTGCAGCTGTTGTTCTTTGGACATATCATGAAAAGGCAAGTCTTACTGGAGAAGAGAATCATGCTAGGAAAAGCTGAAGGAAGAAAAAGAGGGAGGAGCCTAACTATGAGGATCAATTCCATCAAGGAAGCCACAGCCTTGAGTTTACAAGAGCGGAGTATGACTGTCAAGGACAGGCCGTTTTGGCCAGCATTCAACTATAGGCTCACCATAAATAAGAGGTGACTTGACAGCACATAGCAATAACATCTCCCTCTCCCCTCTATCTAATAAGCTTTCCCTTACCAACCCCAAACAGATGTGAGCTATTTTTCTCCATCCGTAAAAGGAATGATATTCAATGGAATGCTAGAGGAAAAATAACTTCAAAGGAGAACAAAAAGTAAGGTGGAAAAATGCAGAAGGAGCATAATTAATTTTATTATTGCATGTGGATTTTGTCATTCCTCCAAAGAGATCCCAATGTAATTAATCCACACACTGCCACCCTATTTTATCCTCATGACAATATTGTGTGAAATAAGTTAGCCTAAAAGATGGTAACTGACCCAAAGTCACCCAATGAGATTCACAACTGGCTTGGAGCTCCTCAGCCTACAGATGCCAATGGCCTAATTACTATGGTAAGATGTGCTACCGTGGCACAGACTGCAGTTTTATAGTACAAACTTCTCAAATGTATATACTCAAGAATCTTCAAATGAGAATAAATTGGATGTTACATTTGCTTTAAGAAGCACCTGCATTTAGACAGAAATGTTTTCACTTGCCACAGACTATTTCCCTAGACAAAGAATATGTTTCTCATTCCAAAAACTAGTTTCTAAAGCTCTCACTTGCACAGATGCAGAGATGTGTAATCTTTTCAGAGCAGCTAGAGAAAATGCTCAACACTACAGGAGTTGCTGTCAGCCTTCTGTGATTGCACACTCACTGCCTCATTCCTGGAACAAATACTCCATGAACCACAACTACATGGACAAGCCAAAACAGTAGTTTATTTCCCTTAACAAGCTTGATACTGCAAACATCAATCACCAGTGAGTTCTTAAACTAAGTTCATTTTTCCACCATTCATTACAAAACTTTCATCATTCATTATGAATGCAAGGCAACATCAGAGAGAGAAAAGCCAAATTAGGTGGGAAGGGAAGCTACTGAGGTACTGATGGTGAAAAAGCTGGTCCCAGGCCAAGAGCAGGCTGCCTTGCACTTTGCTTCAACAGTCTTGCTGCTGGTTCTTCTGCTGGGATGGACAGAAGCCAAAGCAGTGACAGGACATTTGGAGCAGCTGTGGGAGATGCTTAGTTCTTCTGCACTGCAGAGCACATGGCTCCTGCAACATTCCAAGTGTGTTGCAAACAGATAACAGAGCAGAAGTAACATGTGAACCACCTCTTCACCATTCCTCCTCCCTGCCCTCATCACATCTTCCACCCTCCAGCCTACTTCTCCCCCACACCCATCTAATAACACTTCCCATCTATGCTGCCTACTTTTACCAAATGTCCCCCAATACAGAACTCTGTCCAGTCTCTTACTTCTTACCTGATCTCACAACATCTCAGCCCACTTCCCACCAAAATGCACCCTACCTTGTTTTCCTCAAAACCAAGCTCTGCACCTATGCCTTTGCCCACTCTATCCCTCTGAAGCCATCTTCTCTTGCTTTCTGTGCACACACCAAGCACCCAAGACAACCTCCTCTTGCTCTCTCTTGCTTCAAGATGATCCGTAAGGGTGGGACCATTCACTAACTGCGTATTATTCCCTCCAAAAGGGAACAGTACAGACCCAGTCAATCTGGAGCACATCAGAACCCTCAGCTCTTTGCAAACAAGTCCCACCACTACCTGCCCCATACACAGCCCTCAGCACAGTCATTGATGCTGTTCCCATTCCTGGATGCCTCACCACAAGCCAAGCCATCTTTTGCTTTGGACTCAATCTCTCAGGCAATACTCAGTGCTACTTCGCTCCCATGTCAGTCCAGGCTGCTGGCACGCATCCCCTCAGGCAAGGCACAGCGTCTGGAAGAGGGCGGCAGGAAGCTTGTATCAAATGCTGGCATCCTTGGAGGGGAAATGGCACATGGGAAAAAGCAAACCAAAGAGCTGAAAGTGGCTCCCCAGTACAGAGCTTGAGGACTTGGCCTAGGGAGGTGTGGGAATAAACCCCTGCTCAGTCATGGGAGTTGCTGAATGAACTTGGCCCAGCCTCCATTTATCAGCCAGGCCCACCTCAAAGAGCTTTCACAAGTGTAATGGGGAAAACACAGTTAGCCACCCTGAGCTTCTTGGAAGAAAATGTCACAGAATGCAAAACCCTGCTTGGGGCAGCCCAATCATCAAGAGGCTACCCTGTGACGCCGATCCAAATGTTGCCTACTTTATAGTGACCTTTCAGGACTGCCATCCCACTCAGCTTCTTCTCCCAGAGTGGTGCTTGAAACAGCCACACACACCCATGCATCCCTCCAACTGGGATTCACTACCTCCTTTCCCACGCCTATATATACTCTGCCCTCCTATCAGCAGAATTCCTCAATTCTTGGCAGTAGTCCAGCATGTCAGACTAGCTCTCTAACCTCATCTTCTGGCACGCCAGCCTCAGCACCATTCCTGAAGGCACTATCCACCATCTCCTGGCATACTGCCCCTCTCTTGGCCTGCCCACCACCCCTGAGACAAGAAGTCCTTCGGTGACCCTCTCCTCACATCCAATGTACCAACTATCCATCCTTTGACAGTGCCATCTCATCCGTGCCCTTCTGTTGCTGCCGGCAGTTTCTGCCTACTTTTTCTCATTCAGAGACTTGAATGAGTTTACAAGCTGCAAATCACCAAATCCATCTCATAACTTTGATAAACCTTTTCAGCTAGCTGCTGTCTATAAACTACTACATACAGACAGCGAATAAGGAAATCTACAATACACGCATCTCTAGAAAGCAGTAGTGCCCGAGTGGCAGAAGACATGCTTTGTATGCAAAACATCTTTCAGAATTAGTCTCATGGGATATCAGGCTTTAAAGTCATAGAATGTCTTTAAAGAGAAAACTATTGCAAATAAAAGCAGACCCAGTGTGGTGTAGTGGTTGGAGAGAATCTGACTTCCAGCCCCCACCTGGGCCTTGATGTCCACTGAATAATTTTGAGTCAGTCCCTGGCTCTCAACCTCATCTAGAAACAGGATAGTTGTGAGGAAGGGTCAAGAGGAGTATATAAGCTGCACTGGCTTCCTTGGAGGGACACAGGTAGGTTGTACATATAATAAGGAATAACAATAGAGGATGATTGTGATAGATAATAAATACACATAATAGCTGACTACAGTTAGGATAACAATACTAGGAGGATCAAGAGCAAAATGATGGGCAGGACCACTGGCTAAGAACCCAAAGCCTCTCCCAGTTGGGCGAAATGGGGAAGAAGTTGAGGTTCCCAGGAGAATTAACCTTTCCATAATTAGAGTACAATCCTATGCCTGTTTAGACAGCAAAAAAATCCATGCTGGCTGACCAAGCTGGGTGCTGTAGGACTTTTCTCAGTCTAAACAGGCATAGAACTGCAGCTGTAGAGGCTCCAGATCATTTTAGCTCCTATTATTATATTGTTCATTTAATTTCTATACCACCCAATACCGGAGGCTCTCTGGCTGGTTTACTACAGCACACTAAAAATACAATACTTTCCCAATCCCCATTGTCTTTTGGCGTTCGATTATGCTGGCAACTGAAATGCTGGGGCTGAAGGATGCTGGCTGAGGAATTCTGGGGGCTGTAGGAATTTTTTCCCTCTGTCTCCACATACAGAAAATTGTAGCCTCAAGACCTAACCCTATGCCTGCGAGGCAGAGAAAAGTCCCACAGTTCCCAGAATTCCCCAGCCCGCTAGGGGGATGCTGGGAGTTGCGGGACTGTTCTCTGTCTCCACAAACACAGGCTCTAACCCTCTTGTGGTATTCTAACCATTGTTATTATTCAGATAGCTCTGGGTTCAAAGCCTTCCCTTAAAACCACCTCGCAAAAGCAGAGCCAGGATAAAAGGGAATCCGCCTCTCTGCCCACCCCGCGCCCCATTCCCCAACACGGCTCCCCAGGCCCCTCGCCCACCACCACTACAGGCACCATCATCCCCACGCCACGCGCGCCAGCCCTCTCCCTCCCTGGCTCGCTCTCGCCCCACGCACCGTCGAGGGAGACGAACTGCCCGACGGCCGACGAGCCGCCGCCGCTGTTCTCCACGAACTGAACCTCGGAGACGATGATGTTGTCCTCCAGCACCGACCCGCAGCCCGTGCACACGGCGTCGCCCCGGGCCGAGTCCACCTCGATCTCCGAGCCGCCGCACGCGGCGCAAACGCGCCCGCCGCCGCCGCCACCGCCCGGCATCTTCCCTCGGTAGAGCCGGCCGGCGCCAGCCGCCCCGCGGATAGTGCAGACCCGTCCGCACGCGGCCGGCCGGGGCGGTCGCACGCCGGGCCGGCACAGGCCCCCGACCTGGGCAGGCGACGCTCCGAGCCACACGCGGCCGCACTTCCCTCCTCAAGGCCTCAGCCCCGTCAGTCTGCCGGCTGCCCGAGAGCGAGGAGGAGCCGCGGCCTGCAGACGCCGCCCCTTCTCGCGAGGCCTGCTCCGCTGGGCCCGGGCGGCCGCGCCTCCCGCCGGCGAGCGGGGCCTAGTTCACCTCAGGCCGAGCGTCCGCTCCCGACTTGGGCCCGCGCGCCGCTTTAGGGCCGCGGGCTGCTTGGGGGCGCCGAGCCCGTGCGGCCTCCCCCGCTTTGGGACCGCCGCCAGGAATTGGCTATTGGAGAACGATAAAAAGAGGAAAGTGCCTATTCACAGCTGCACAGGAACTGAGGCTCTGCTGCGAGACACACACAAGGGTACAAACGTATTTTATGCTGTTTTTACATAGGTTGTTGGCAGCTTCCCAGAGAGCTTGAGCTACTTGGGCGGTATCGAAATTAAATTACTAAAGCGTCCTGCTGCACCTCAGAATCGCCCTGAACACGACTTGGCCGCCTTCGGGGGATCTTGGGAATGGAGACTCTCTCAGGCACTTGGAGTGCGTGGCTCCTCTTTTTGCTAGATATACTGTATTTATAGCCTGTCCTTTTTTCCTGCATGGCAGTAAAAGTGATTTACATGAATCTCTTCGTGTCTTCACAACAACCCTGTGAGGTATGTTGGGCTGAGAGCAAGTGGCAAGCCCAAAAGCACCTGGTGGGTTACATGATCAAGTGGGGACGGCCATGTGAGGCTCCCAAGTCCCAGGACAGGGCTCAAATCATTCTGTCCACTGGATTGTTGACGGGGTGGAAAGACGGGCCCTTGTTTGGATCCACAGCATGGCTGATCAGATTCTTACTTCCCAATTTAGCCTTACTCAGAGTTGATGCCCTCCAGGTATCTTGGACTTCAAATCCCATCAGCCCCAGCCAGCATGGCTAATGGTCAAGAAGTCTGGGAGTTGCAGTCCAAAATGTCAGGAGAGCAGCCAGTTGAGGAAGGGTACCTTACATTCATTCTACGATCAAAGGTGCTAAAGAGCCCCTGAGCATGTGAAGAGTTTCTTAATCCACTGAATATAACTGGTACACACACCAAAAGAGGATTAAGAAACATAAGTCCCCTGCATTACATGCTTTCATATTTGTCTTCCCACTGTAACCACTGTGGCTTACCTCTGGAGAAACATAAATAAGAACAAGCAACGCTTCATTATTTATATTCTGCCTATTCCCAATACTGACACTTTAGGCAGTGTACAGCATTTAAAAGAGTGGGACAATTAAAACATTGATAGAAATAAAGACAGGTTAAAATATAATCAAATCAACTACAATGTTAAAATTATATACAGTACAAAATTAAAACAGCATTTGAAAAAGGATAAACAGCAGAGATGGACCAACATAATCTCACAGCTCCAGACTGACTATTCCAAAGGCCACCGGGAACAGGAAAGATCTGACTTTCAGGCAGGGCCAAATCCACAAATACACTCAAGGCTGCAGACCTGTGTCCTGGGGGAATGTTGCTCCATTCAGCACAAGCTGCATCCTTATTCTTTGATCGCCTTCCCGCTGACCAGGGGTTCTTCTGCTTGCCTGGATTGAGCTGCCCTGTCTGTGAATGCGGACAGGCACTGACTGAGCACGGAAGGAGCTCCCTTAGCATGAAATGGAAAGGAAAAATAAAGCTGGGTGTTTCCAGCATATTGGGGACACCAAGCTCCAGACAACCTCTCCCAGTGGCTTCATGTATGCACTAAATACATGGAAGTCCAAACAGAACCTCAAGGAGCAGCACAGGTCAAAAAGGAGTCCCCCAGTACCACCTTCTGGGTCCACTCCTTCAGGAAGGAATGGAGCCACCATAAGACCACCTCCAGTGCAGCCAAGAAAGACCCCGTGGTATTGAGGGCCACTGAGAGCTCCAGTACTTTTTTAGTGTTACCAGCTAGCATTGCACATCTATGAAACCTGGTGCAAGAGTTCTACAGGCTGCGGTTCAGCAAGCAAGCAAGCAAGCTTCTTCCCATCAAACAGGGAGCAAAGCCCCTACCCTTGAGCCCCAAAAGTGCCCCTCTGAAGGACCAAACCCCAGGCTTTTATGCCGCAGCTTCCAAAGTTGCTACAGCTGGGAGTGAGGTAGCATTTTGCTGGATCTGAGTCTCCAAGGAAGCCAGTCAGAAGTTCTACAGGTGAGGTCAGCAGCAGTAGCATAGGATCACAAACTTTCCTTGGAACACTAGAGAAGTCAGGTTATTCTGGAGTGGGGTGCAGAGAGAAATTGAGGATGCTTCCAGGCACAAGAGTGCTCGTTCACAGGCCCAGAGGACAGCAGTGTACCCCCCTCTGTTTTCCCACCACTGTTTCCTTTTTTAAAATCAAAAACCACATGGATAATCTTGCAGAGACAAACTCCAATCCAGGTTTATAGCAAACCACTTGGGAATACGGATGGAACATGGAAGCGATTGATTTTATCTTTCCAGTTTCAGGAAAGTTCCCTTGCTCCTCCCACCCTGCCCGGTTATATAACACCCTCACAACTCTGCAGGAGTCCAGAGCAAGCCTAGGTCTTTGTAGCATAGTCTGCTTGGTTCCGTTTTTGGCCTTCCAAGTATGGAAATTTCCTCACTCTTGTTATGATCAGTCTTTCCTTTCCGTCGGAAGAGAAAAATATTCCAAGCATGCAGAGTTCTTTTTAAAACTTTATTGCATTGAAGGGAACAGAAAAAAAAAGTTTCTTTCCCATTTTTCTGTTCACCTGAGCACATGTTCACACACCCCTTTTGAACCCTGCTCCCGGCCGTTTCTTCCCTCCTCCTTTCCCCTAATTGGCTGGGGTACTGAGAGTTTACAATCTTTCCTTCTGCCTACTCCACGCTGCTCCAACACTGGCCCTTCTTCCCAATCCAGCCCTGCCCCTGGTGAGCTACAATAGGCTCATTTTGTTCTGCCAAGCTTGTCAATAAACAATCAGGAAGTATTTGGCCCTCCTGCCTACATGCCTGTTTCCCCACACCTTGTGCTATCTGATTTTAACCCCTCCCCTCCTTTGGCTAAGTAATTTTCTTCACTACCTTTTTAAATCTCTCTACTCCCTTGTTGCAAATCATCCTTTCACACCTATCACTCTCCTTCCATCCCTGGCTAGATGACAGGATTGCCCTGCTGATACCTGTATTCTGCTCACATCCCAGAGCAGATGACAGCAATGGAAACACCTGTGATTATGGGGAGAGAAGTGCGTCTCTGCATGGGCCATGAGGTATGTGCAATGTACATGACTCCGATAAAGTAGCCATGTGACCTACCTTCCGGAGGGCATTTCTCTGTTAAAGGGCTGCCTAGCCCAGTGATGGCAAACCTTTTAGAGACCGAGTGCCCAAACTGCAACTCAGAACCCACTTATTTATTGCAAGGTGCCAACACTGCAATAAAACCTGAATTTGCTGACCACCAGCACAAGGGGGCAACGTTCCATTGACCACCATCTTTTGGCAGGCCCTGAAAAAGGCATCTGAGTGTATTTCCTACCTTTCCTACCTTCTGCTAAAATCACAGTCCAAGGAAATCCCTGGCAGCTCACTGACCGGCCATGTGAAAGCTCTGCCGGTTGCGGCTAACGAGTGACCTCTTTGCCTGGCGCCCTTAATCTTTCTGAATATGTGCATGGCTGCTGGGGTGATTGCGTGAGCTCACGTGTGCCGTAGGTTCACCATCACTAGCCTAGCCTGTTCAAAGGTCCAGAACAGAGGAACAGTTTTGCAGTGGCCCATCCAGAGTCACTGCCTGACCAGCAGCCTGAGCAACAAGCATCATCTGATCATCTGGCCATAGTCTGATCACTATGATGGTTAGATGTATTATATCTCTATTTAAATAAAAATATTTTTGTGCATGCAAATATTATGCAAACATTTCATCTGCATTTGGTGATGCATAAATAGCTATCCTGAATTTGATACTGGAGAAAATTCTAGACAGCAGTATGTCAAAAATTGATGTTCCACACTGGAACTTGTGCAGCAAGAGTAAGCTTAGGTGGCTTCAGCAAGCTACTGTTTTTCCAGCCTTGTTTCTTTTCTGTAAAATGGGTGCAGTATTTCTAGTTTACAATATTATTTGAAGACTTCAAAGATAATGGGAATACTTTTCCAGAAAAGGAAAATCCTAATCCAAGTGAACAATAGAGTGGGCCATGCAGAATAATCTGCAAAAAACCAAGTGAGCAGATTATACAAGAACCTAACATCACTTCTCGTATCTAAATTTAGCTCTGGAATAGTTGAACAGTAACAAGGAATTTTGTGGTTCTGATTTCATTCTTCAGGATTTCCCTGAGAAAAGAGTGAAATCAGAGGATAACATCTAAGGTATAGATAGACTGTTCTACCATTTGTTATTTAGTAAGAGCACACGCGTGTACAGAGAGCACAAAAGGAAACTTACGTTTTTTATTCCTTCTTGGACCTGTCTCCTCCTTTCTCCAGTTCCTGGTTAACTAAAGACTTAAAAAGTAAGCAGAAACCACTGTGTTGATTGGTAAAAAGAGAAAAATAACCACCGCCACCCTCAAATGTTCTACAAAGTCTTAAGAATTTGGCAACAGCAGAGTGCGGGGAATACAGCCTAATCAGCTCAAAACTATCTGTCTATAGTTGAGCAAACGTAGTGGAGCATCAAGAATAAGATATTTTTTTAAAAAAAATGGCAGTCATGTTTTCTGCATGCAGGACACTTCTGAATGTGCAGCATGTCCAAGCTTTACACTCTCTGTAGATATCTCAAATCTAACCAAGACATTCTCAGAGCTCCCCAAGAAACTGAAAAGGGACAAAACTGCCCCCCCCCCCATTTCACAATAGGAAGGCAGGAGGAAATTCTTTGTCTTCCCCAGATTCAGGCTGGTCACTCCATCAAACAGTGACTTGGCAGACAAATGGAGCATTTCTGGAGGACAGCAATTCTGTGGGAAACTGGTGCATGAGGTGGACTTTCCTGTTTAAAGTCGATTCAGGCCTCCCACTGTTGCCTTGCCCAGCTGCTGTTTGGTGGGGTGGAAGCAAGCCCCATTGGCTTCAGTGGAATTCACAACCGGGGAAGCAAATAAAGCATTGCAGCCTAAATGCAAAAGAGCTACAAAGAAGTTACTGGTGTTGGAACCCAGGAATGCCTCAGGCATAAGTAAGGTCAAATGGAACGATGTACTGTAAAGGAAACATTTTGCTATTTTAATAATTAATAATTATCATGTTATTGTAGTGCACTAAAGCACAAAATGCATTTTAAAATGCAATTGATTATACTGGATTTTTCTTTCATTTCCAGTACAATCATGCATGTGTCTACTCAGAGTTAAGTACACATGAGGCTTTTAAGAGCTGGCTCTGTCACACAGGACTGAATGTATGTCAGTCTCCAGCACCATTTATTTATCTGACCCCGGATAAACAGAAAATCCACACCATGTCTGGAGAAGCAGTTTTGGAGTCTATAGAACTGTCTTGATTCATTGCTATCTCCTCATTTGGTGTCAGATGGTTAATTTAAAGTGCTGCACATCCTTTGGAGTCCACTGATGGATTGCGTATATTCTATCCCAGAAGGACCAGCCCAACTCTAAAAATGGAAGAGAGAAGTAGGTGCTCCTAGATTTGTCACTGTTTCCCACAATTCCCAGTCCCCTCTGCATATCATATTTTCCCATGTTTCCCTGCTTTGTGCTAAGGAAAATGTGCACTTTCTCTCCTTTTAGGGAGAGTGCAGTGTTCAGGCTTGTGAGAGCCAGTTCTCTACCTTATGGTGCTTTGTTGAAATCTGTATAGCCTTATTTCATTTGGTAAACCATACGTCTTTTGTTTATTGAAAAATCAGATGGTGGGCTAGGCTGCAAAGGGAGGGCTTGCATACATAGATGGGTTTTCAACAACTGCCTAAAAATAAAAAAGTTGATGCACATCTAATGTCAGCAGGAGAATATTACTAACAGCAGCTGCTACCACCAGAAATGCTTATTTCTCTCTTTGTTTTGGATGTCTCTGTTTTACCATGGAGTTTTTATCCCGAGACTTAGCTCCTTTGAGTACCAGTGGCAGAAAAGCAGGCAGTAGATTTGTGGAAGATGATGGTCTCTTGCATCTCAGAATTTACCAGCCTGTCACTAATCCAGACAGAAGATTTCAGCTCATTAGCTTCCATTACTGAAGCACCCATTGATCACTTTGAATCATCATCAACCCAAAAGGAGTCTACCAGCTTGTGCAACAATATCAAAAGCCAGCAGAGGGAGCCAAACCCCTATGCTTCCCTCATTCCAAGGCACTTCTTGTAATACTTACCATTTACCTGCATTAAGCAGAACCAATAAAAAAAAGGTGGCGACACTGATTCTTAACTATAGAATAATTATTTATTTATCATTCATGTTTTTGCAAAGATGTCAGGCATTGCAAGAATTTAGTCACTGTAAAGGGGTTACGGATGGAAACCTGTGTGGACCTCCAGGTGTCATTAGATTAGCACTCATGTCATCCATGATCATGGGTATTTTTTTCATGCTTTCTTCTCTCCTGGCCTCCAAACCTTCCCTGAAGCTTTTGGATTTTACTGACCATTTACCTGCATTAAGCAGAACCAATAAAAAAAAGGTGGCGACACTGATTCTTAACTATAGAATAATTATTTATTTATCATTCATGTTTTTGCAAAGATGTCAGGCATTGCAAGAATTTAGTCACTGTAAAGGGGTTACGGATGGAAACCTGTGTGGACCTCCAGGTGTCATTAGATTAGCACTCATGTCATCCATGATCATGGGTATTTTTTTCATGCTTTCTTCTCTCCTGGCCTCCAAACCTTCCCTGAAGCTTTTGGATTTTACTGAATGTTCAGCCTTTTTGGATGGGGGGATTTTATCAGAAGCCCAATAACCCCCTATATCAAGGTGTCATGCAGGTTAAAACGATCAGAAAGAGTTGCAGTAAAATGCCAGTCAATCACAGTACAGGAAATTCATGAAACAAAACACACATGTCAGGGCAGAAATTAATACAGTTTCAACAATTCCTGTTAAGTAATACAGAAGGCCGCGAGAATCACCTTCCCAGAGTTAAAAACAACCATGCTAAAATTACAGCAAGGCCAAGATCATCCACACTATTGTATTTCTGTTCACTATGTATGGATGTGAAAGCTGGGTGGTGAAAAAAGCTGACAGACATGATGCTGGAGGAGAGCTCTGTGAATACCCTGGACTGACAGAAAGACAAACATGTAGCTCCTAGATCGAATCAAGCCAGAGCTTTCCCTGGAAGCAAAAATGTCGAAACTGAAGCTGCCCTACTTTAGCATTTTATGAGAAGGCAAAACTCCCTGGAGAAGACAATCGTGCTCGGAAAAGTCAAAGGGAGAAGAAGAAAAGGAGGACCAAATCCGAGATGGCTTAACTCCGTAAAGGAAGCCACAGCCTTGGATTTAGAGCAGCTAAGCAGGGATGTTATATATAGGACCTTTTGGAGGGCTTTCATTAACAGGGTTACCATAAGCTGGAGATGACTTGACAGCATGCAACAAGAGATGGGCCGTGCAATCCTATGGCTCCTAGGAAATCTCTGCCCATGCTCAGTGTCCTCTGAAGGCAGCAGATACACATTTTGTGCCCGGCCTGGGGCAGAAACAGGAAACAATACCAAATTGTGAGCACTAGTGAGCATTAAGCAGCAGGTGCTGGGAAAGGAGCTGTGCTTTTGGTATGCTGCATTCAAAGGCAATCATTTCCACACTGCTGCTCCAGGAGCAACAAGCTAATTACATAATTAAACATGCCTGTGACTGCAAAGCCATTTGCAGAGGAGGCTGCCAGCTCCCTCCCTGCCATGCAGTTTCCTCCCAGCTCTGAGTGGACCATCCTTCAGAAAACAGGCAGCCGAGGGTGCCCGCTGTACCCTTCTCTGTCTGCCCTCATCTCCCTCCAGTCAAAAGGCAATCCTGGAGCCGTGACTCATGCAGGCCTTCCCTCAGAAGGGATGGTGCTTATTGTTACATGCTTTCGGGCACAGGTACATGACCATTGTTGCCTAGTGGTTAGAGTAGGACTCAGCAGACCTGGTTTCTAGTCCACGCTCAGCCATGAAGTTCCCTGGGTGACTTTGGGCCAGTCACTCACTCTCAACCAAACCTGCCTCACAGGGTTGTTGTGAAGAGAAAATGGAGCTATGCAAGACACCTTGGGTTCCTCACAAGAGAAGAAAGGTGGAATATAAATGC